TATGTTGATGGTGTACTAAAGTTGTTTTCAAGTGTGTAAGATGATTGAAATTAATTGGAAAGGCATATTTAAGGATTTGATTAGGACCTAGGGTTTATGGAAGTACTGATTTTTAATTAAACTTATATGAAATTGTTTTGGAATTTCATGAAATTGAAGTTGGGAGAATTTTACAATATTTTCCTATGAGTTAGAATTGATGTTAGAATGGTTATTACATGATTTGGAAGATTGATTGGACCAATTTAGAACTTAGTGGATTTGTAGGGACCATTTTATATATTTTAGGAATTATGAGGAAACAAGAGTAATTGTTTAATCATTGAAGGTCTATACTAAAAGTTAAGTATTAAATGTTGATTTTAGGTTGGAACCTATAATTTTAAGTTGCAAGCCATGTTTTAGGTTGCAACCCAGAATTTTAGGTTGCAAACCAGATTCTTTTTAAATTACAAGCAAGAATTAGAGAATCGTGATATCATCGAGAAAGTAGATTAACGAAGGACTTGAAGTGTGATTTTTGGAATATTAAAGTTAATAGTTACGATTAGTATCAAATAAGTATTAAATAAATATTTTTGATTTAAGTTACTAAATCTTGCTTATGTTAATAGGTTACTAACATATGCTTTGAAATGTATGTATTGTAAATGTGATTTCCGTTTAGATATATAACATTTTGCACTAATTGTGCGTTCCGGGCTTTACGATGTGTTGACATTGTGAATTGTCATTATGTGATATAACCTTTTAATAAAGTGATGTTGTGTTCTACAATACCTATATTTATGTGTTGCACCAAGGGTGCATTCTTTTGTGACAGTTACGACTGCATATTATGCACACACTCATTATGATTAGTGTACCTAGTATTCTCAGTTGTGTACATTTGGCTATCAATCAAATATTCCAAAATATGAAGGAATGATTGATGCATTGAAAGTGAATCTTTCTTTGAATGTTTTTATCTGTGAATTTGGATATAGATATTCTAAATTAATATTTTTCAGGTTTTTGAAGAAAGAAATAAATTATTCTGTCTATTATTGTGTACTTATATTTTTATATAAAATGTTCTCTGTAAGAAATATTTATTTATTCATCTTATGACAATTTGAATGATTTATTTTAAATAATGTCTCACTAAGTTGTTACTTAGCGTATGAACATTTCATGCATAGGTAAAGGAAAATATTAGTCGGTGGAGTTGGGAGCTTAGCAAGCATCACCTTTTAAGGACTGCATCTATTCCAGTATCAGTATCGTATTTATCGCTTTTGACTTGACTAGTTGGCATGTATATTAAATATGTGTTTTGGTTGCTCTGGTAAACTAGTTTATAAATTAGGTTGTAATATATAAATTAATATGAATATTATGTATGTTAGTGGATATGATATATATTTTGCATGAAAAATAATCTTATCGAAATGGATTTTAAGTAGGCAATTTTAAGCAGTTTTATTTCTAATATGATTCAGTGCCTAACTTTTAAATTGCTGTCTAAAATCAAATTTGATTTTAAAATCAAAATATCAAATTTTAAGTTATACGAGTTACTAATTCTATAAAAATAATAATAAACAAGTTAACTTTTTTTTAGTTTGACTCGATTTTGTTTAGCAAGTGTTTAAGAAGTCGATGTGACATTTTTAATTCGTAATTGAGTACGTTTAAGGGTGTTACAAAGTACAACACCCCAAAATATCGTATTCTTGCACGATTTGTCAACAAGAATATAGTTGCACAAAGCTAGTATTTCTAGTGATATAGTTCTTGCAGCAGCATATAATAATGAATTTCCTTGCTACAGACCTGAGGTTGCAAACTATGTTGCAGCCTATTGTGTTTGACTCATCTTGGATCATCGAACATTGAAGCTATTGGAGGTGTTGTTAGAGTATGCTCAAAGACCAATCATATGATGATTGTAATAATACTTTTATTTACCAATTTTATTGATTAAAGGCATTGCCGCTATTATTTTCATTTATATATATGTGTTTAACATAAACTGGAAGATAATAAAGTCCATATAATGACATAATTGTTATTATTAAAAGATCCCTAGTCAAGTATTATTATGGGCATGGACAATAATAATACACTTAAGACTAACATGTTATTGATTGATGACAATGAGTTGTCATTGACATAGAGATGTCAGAATTGATACATGATTATATTGTTAGAGAACAATGTATTGGATTGACCGACCATGAGCATATGTCTTGGATTATTATGTGACAGTCATAACATTGCTCATGGTGATGACTATATGTATGATCCTCAACTTGAGATCAATACTATCCCAACATATATTGTTGTATGTTTTGATGCAGCTAAACAAGCTCCGTAACTGGTTGCTCTATAAAGACTGTTATTGAATATATCTCAATATATGTAGTGAGTGTGTATGATTAAGATAGGATTTTTCCTTCCTACATAATAGGAAATATATCACAAGCCACTTGATTGAGTAAGACTAGAAACGCATGGCCATGCTCGAATAAGTTGATATGAGATATCATAAACTATTCGTTAATTAAAGTCTACTCTAGATATCAAGAAACAATATATGGGCTATACAAGTGTGGCTATTCCAAGACTTGTGCCTATTCTAGATATAAAGGACATAAGGATGTAATACATAAAAAAGTAATCACCAAGATGATATGTCGAATCATATTTTCTTGTAACTTAGGTGACAATGATATATTGCTAGATGTCACTCATTGTATGTAATATTAGAATTGTTCTAATAATTACTGCTAACGTTATAAGAACCTAAAATGTCACACCCTAGGATTAAAACGAGCAAAGATGTACAATTTGTTGTACGTTACTAAAATATATATATAGAGTTAATTAAATATATGTTTTAATAATCCCGAATATTTAATTTCAATTAATTAATTAAATATAGATTTAATTAATTTGAAATAAAAAAATCCTCAATATGATTAGGGTAACTTGGATATAAGAGGATTATTAAATTTCAGTTAATTAAATATAGATTTAATTAATTTGAAATAATAAAATCTCCAATATGATTAGGGTAACTCGGATATAAGAGGATTATAAAATTCAATTAATTAAATATAGATTTAATTAATTTGAAATAATAAAACCATAATATGATTAGGGTAACTTGGCTATAAAAGGGTGTGTTAGGTCTAGCAGTCGTTTTTGCAACACACTCACAAACCCTTCAGTTGTTTTCTCTCAAAACAGTTTTGGGAAAAACAAATATTGCTCTCAATCGGGTGAACTTAGTAGAGGCCGAGACGTGATTTCGTGGAGGCTTTAGATTCGAATCGATCTACACCACCGTATTCACTACTGTTCTTGCTGTTTTCAAGGAACCCACTGTAAGTATTCGCATCTCTTCCTCCCGATTTCGATTTTTTATACTTGGATCGCTGGTGAGACCGTCGAGTTTTGTTTCCGCTGCGCCATGGGGTACGCCGACGGTCCCAACAGATATATGCCGAATATAAGTGAAAATTGAACCGACAAAAAAAAGATCTTTTCATGCTGTCTGTCATAACCATTTTAAAAAAAATAATTATTTATTATTTTAAAAAAACAATTATGATTTTTATTTGAAAATTTTAGTGATTTTGAATTGATTTGAATTAAATTGAAAGAGAGTCGCCATCGACCTTTGAGTTACGTGGGTCGAATACTTAAAAATGTATTTTTAAAATAATTTTAAGGAAAAATCATTTTTTAATACAAAAGTTGGTTTGCGTTTACCAAAAATTCGATTTAATGGGTCTAGGAATCGATTACGCGTGGGAAAGGATTAACACCCCACAACGCCCAAAATTGATACTCAATCGCTTATATATTGTCGTAAATGGTGAAAATTATGAATTTGCATCGATAATTAAAAATATGATTCATTTACTGAAGTTAATTTAATTTGCTTCGAATTAATTAGTTAGAGAAAATTTCTTAACTTGAAAAGAAATCTCGAGATAAGCAATCCTCCATCGAAAAAATTATCTCATCTATTTCTTATCTGTAAAGAATATTCCCTCATTGGAGCCAAGACCATTTAAAGAAAAACATGAGCATCGAATATAAACTGAAAATTGACATTTGCGTAAAAGAACGTAAATTTCCATTTAAAGAAAAATACATTGCATTATTTGAATAAAAAAGATTTAATTAGTAAAATAAACGAGATTTATTTCAAGTTCCCATTTCGTTAAATGTTATATCGGATTGCATCACTTCGACCAAATGATACTTTCCACGCTCTTTCTACAAATCGATTCTTGAAATATTCGAATATCTCATCAATAGATAAAAAATACAATGGAAATAAATGTAATTGGAAATATATGAAATAAAATATTTACAATAAATGGATCTAGGAACATTTATTTAATATAATACATATAACTACATAATATGTAAAATATATTCATACATGAAGGACTAAAATAAAAATAAATAAACATTACAAATCAAAATGAAGTCACCAAAAATAAGTCTTTACATGACTAAAATAGAATTAACATAAACTTGAAGGACTGGAAAGTAAATGTAAATAAACCAGATCCACAATAGTCACTTTGAACAAATATAGGTACTAGAAACAAAAATAACCCATAAATAATAGTTAATGACTAAAATAAACTAAACCAGAAACATGAAGGAGTAAATAATAAATAGACCAAAATGCATTCATATGCAAAACAGTGACCAAACTAAAATATTCTCAACTATCTCGACCAAATTCAAACACTAACAAGAATGGTATAATACATAGGATAGTGATTAAAAAATACACATGGTAAGATAAGGGCTCAAATTAAAATATCACAAAGTTCATTAATGGCTAAAATAAAATGTTACAAACAAGGGGGACCTGAAAAACAATTAGTCCACACGCTAAAAAAACACGCTGAAAACCCCCTAGAACGATGTCGTTTTGCTTAGTATATATATAATAACTAAGGCCAAAACAAGGCCATCCTCTACATTTGTGTGGTTCGAAATCAGAGGGAAGAGAGAGAGTTTTCTAACTCTCTCAACTCCCTCAATCGGGGAAGAGAAAGGTCATCGCCGCCGGTGGCGTTCACGGCGACCCACGGTGACCGGAGAAAGGCAACCACCCAAAAAATTTTCTCTCCTCACCTTCAACTTGAAACCCAAACTATTTTAGCCTAAAACTCCCTTTAAACCCCCTAGATATAAGTTTTACCTTCCGAATACTCGAAGTTTCCGACGACCTTTAGGATTCCGGCTTCTTGCACTAAGGTAAAATATCTCTCTCTTTTTTATTCCCTTTCCTTTTCCTTTCGATTGCTCTTTTATTTTCCTCGGTGTGAGTTGTTTCTTTTTGTTTTTCCTTTTGGATTCCCCTTTTGTTCTCTCTGGTTTTTCCCGATTCTTCCTCCCTCTTTTTCTGTATTTTTCTTTCTCTTTTATGGTGATCCCCCTTGACTGCTCTCTGCCCCCTGTCTTTTTTGATTTAGGGTTGATAGTTGGTGATAATAGTGAACTCTCCTGAGTAGGGGCATGGTTCTCTGATCTTGGTAGGTGAAGAATCCTGATTTTTCGGGATTACTTGTCATTTTAAAAATGGGTTCACTGTTGATGACATTTTTGTTGCTTTTGATTTTTGAATTGATTTGCTTTATGTGAGTTACTGTAGATGACGATGGGGCGGTTGAAATGGCGGTCGGATCGTCGGGAACGGGCCGGAACAGTGGTGGTGGTGCGGCTGGATTAGGGTTTAAAAACCCTAATTATTCTAGGTTGCTGAGTTAGGCCCGGGTCGAGTCTGGATCGGGTATGGATCCTGGGTCAGGTCTGAATTCTCTTGTAGTGGGTTGTTGGGCTTCAGGTTGATGTTATGGTTGGGCTTATATGTTGGGCTTCGTTTGTAAACTGGGCTCAGGGTGAGGGCCTGCAAAAATTATTAAAAATAATAATAATAATATTTTTTAAGACCTGGACGGGTGTCTACACTCTCCTCGATGTTGGTCTTGTCACAACTATTCTATAAATCATGTTTTTTGTATTCTCAAGATTGCTTTGCAGAAAAACAAAGTCGTTTGTGACATTTTCATAATGCATGACATCTTCCTCGCTTGGATCTAACCTTGATGAAGCTTTTCCCTCGTTGTTTCGAAAAACAATAACGAGTAAACGATTAAGAACCAACTTATTAGCAATTTCTCGGCTGCTTGCTACACTCTCTCTAGCAGATGTGGGTGCATCTGGTTTGCAATCGACTAGACGGACACAATCATTGAGGGCATCGAGTTCTGCGGCACACTTGTTAATTTCCTGTCTTTCAAAGAATTTACTCTCGTCAACAGCTATCACTTCCTTAGCATCCGAGGATTGATGCTTCCTTACCCTATTAGAATCGATAACATTCAATCCAATATCCCCAAAAGCTTTTTCTGCTGGCAGATCCGAATCCATTGCAAAGACATCAGTAACCAAGCAAGTTTTTAGATAGCAAGTATCATTTATCAGCATCATGGAGTTCAGCAATATCTTTTGACGTTGAAGAATTGACTTCATCTAACAAATAACTTTTTCTCTCTTCTACTACATCGTCGACAACAAAAATGTCTCTTACTTCTATTAATTCAGATTCTCCTGAAATTTTTTCATCATATGTCCCCTTCGAATGCTCATATCTTGATGAATTCTCATCTTCCTCCCTTAAATTCACACCAGAAGCATTCACCATAGTCCAAATTAACATGTAGCTATTATAATGAGAATATAAAACAAGAATCTCAACAACTTTAAGTTCAACAAACCCATCACCCTTAACGCCCTTAATTACTACAGCAGGAAAGAGATCAAAACTTCCACAGTATCTATTTGAAGCCTCCAAAGGAAGAACCACTTAGAAACAAAGTTTTCATCGTCGACTTCGAAACTTCTAATGAATCGAGTCATACCCCTTCCCATTAACAAAAGCTTGAACTTATAAGGATCGTCAAACTTAACCCGTACCTTCTCATGTGCCAACACAAATGAATGGGTTCCTTCAATATTTGCCCCAACATGAACAATCAGAACCAGGAAATACTCAATAGGTAATCCCTTATATATTACCCACGTAGGTTGAACATACAACACACATAACATCCGAACCATGGAAATTTTAGTGACTAAAATGCAATTTTCGAAAATTACATGGCCTAAATAGAAAGTCAAAGCCAAGTGATTCATCTTTGACTAAGAAATATTTTAATGGAAATATTGCAATGGCATATTGTAAATATCAAGTTTTATTAATGATAATTTTGAGATTTCTCATTAATTGAATTTTAAATTCAATTATATTATTAAAAAGCCATGTGTTAAGAATTTTAATACTAGAATAATCATGAAAAATCAACATATTTCCAGCCATCTTCCTCCATTAGGCCGAAACTCCATTGCTTACCAAGGTATAATTTTTGTTTTGATTTTTGAAGCTACATACTTGATTTTTGGATTAAGCTATTAGACAGAGAATTAATCTACATTAAATTCTCTATCATTTGATATAAATTTTACATGGTGATCATGCTATGGGTTTATGGATTTTGAAGAATTGATGAAGGATTTTTATGTTTTTGATGTTGGAGATTATTTCTAAAGCATGTATGATGATTAAAATTATTTGTACATGGTTATATAATATTCGGCCACATCTAAGGTTTGTTGAGATTGGTTGATTTTGGTTTAATTTGATGTTATGATGGTTAGAATAACATGAATTTAATGTAAATAAGTTGAATTCATGCTTGAAATAGAATGGAAATTAAGCCTTAGAGGACTTAGTATATTCGGCCATAAGGAAAATTTGGGGGGAAATTATTGAAAAATTTCTTATGGTCTAGAATTGATATTAGAAGTGTTCTATGTAATTTGGAGATTAATTTGGATCAATTTGGAGCCTTGAGATAGTAAAAGGTCTAATTTACAAGTTTTGAGAATTGTGGGACATTATAGCAAGAATATGGTAATTGGGGTGTTCAATGATGAATTTTAATTATGCAATGATGGAAATTTAAGTTGAAAAGTTTTTTGGAACCAAATTGCAAATTTGGTAAATGACAAGGTGGAATTCAAAAGGTCTTGACATTTTAGGGACCTAGTTGCGAGCTTACCAAATGTGAAAGTATCATTTGGGTAAAATATTACATTGCTGGAAAATTTATTTATATGCTGTTTTTTGAGTTTAAATGTTGAGTTGGGATAAAATTATAAGTTTATAAAGGTGAATGGTTGAATTCAAAAAGTCTAAGAAACTTTGGGATGAAATTTCAAGTTTTTGAATGTTAAAGTATTGAATTGAGAATTTTATTAAGGTGCTAGAAATTTTAGTAATTAAAGTGCAATGAACATAATGGTGAAGGATCATTATGAATTTAATGGAAAAGTTAAGGTGAATTTTAGAAAAAAATCATAATTAGTGGTTTGATTGCGTAATTGGCAAAAGTTGAGGGGTTAATGATAAAAATAAATATTTATGAAATTTAAAGAGTATGTTTGAGAAGTTTGAAATTATGATGGAAATACGATTTAGTTTCATGTCGATTAAGTATCAATTTTATTTTTATAGATTTTTTTATTATTAAGTTTAGATTATGTTAGTTCAACACTATTATATAATTTGAATATTTTATGTTATTATATGATATTGTTAGATTACGATAAACCTAGCGAATCGAGTGATCCGAAAGGAAAGAACAAAACACAAGAGTAAGGAGTATTATAAAAGTTCGGTAGTGAGGCAAATGTGAATGCAGATTATTTATTTAATTATTTTGAACAAGAACGACTTGCGATAAATTAACCTTATATTATTATTTTCAAGTGTGATTTATAACTTTAATTATGGATTATTTCCATAATATTTTCATCAAGTTTAATGAATGATTTAGGGTATGAATTGCCTAAGTATGATTTTTATGATGATAAATATTAAATGTTTATGATTTCTAAGAAGTTGGATATTAAACGATTATTTTATGATTTATAAGCCCACTGTATGTTGTATTGAGAGTCATAGGTACATTTGACACGCCATTAAGTTTATTACTTTCAAGTTAAGTTATGATACACTTGTGTACATTATGTATTGCACCATTAGTGCTCATGTTATGATTTGCGCTTGGAGTGCATTTTATGCTCAGTTACGATTGGCACCGTGATGTGCCTAGTGTGCACATTATGTTCTACTCACATACCTTATGTTCTCTTAAATATACTTTGGGCTAAGAAAAATGAAATATGCCAGTTAGTTGGCAGGAAATATGATATGTTTATGCTAATTGATACTATTTATTATGATTTTTATACAAATATAAAACAAGTTGATTTTCAGGTTACGAAGAAGTACTAGACTTGAATAAGTTGGTTTGATTATTTTATTTAAATTATTCTTAATATTCCAAGTATTTATGATATTTTTATGTTTTATCTCACCTTAGCTTGCTACTGCCTCACTAAGTTATACTTAGCGCGTAATGATTTTCATGCGTAGGTTCTGATAGAGAACAGACGTGCAATGAGGAGCCTCCCGAACATCTTTTAGGAGATCTTCTATAATATCAGTATCAATAAGACAACTTTGATATTACTTTTGACTAGTAGTGGATGTATATTTATGTTATCAGTTTGCTTTATTAGTTTTATTTTAAATGGTCTGTAATAGTAAACGAGGATCATTTTATTTTGACTATACTAGTTATATTCGTATTTATGAATGAACAAATTATTTATGATATTATAATTTAAATGATTTTAAAAATTAAAAAGTGTTTAGGTAGTACTATATATAGTTTATGAAACATTACTAAACTGCCTAATCGCCATCTGAAAGTAAATTTGTTTCCAATGTTTAAATATTAATTTTATGACCAACAACCAGTTGCTCTAGTGGGATGAGGCACTAGGTCCCTTAAGCAAGGCCAGAGTTCGAATCCTGGCGTTTGTGAATGAAGCAAACTGGGGTTGGGAGGTCGCCCTCGCCTTTGCAGTACCCTATCTCGATTAGTCGGTTAATAGATCGGATACCAGTGATTAATTCAAAAAAATATTAATTTTATGACTTTATTGATTTAGAAGATAATTTTAAAGTTGAAAATAAACAAAATTGTGGGCATTTATGTTCAATGAATGTTTGTCAAGTTGATGTAACATCTTTAGTTCGTATTTCCAGACGTATTCGGGTTATAAGTGTTACATATATCGTCTTATCCAAAAATAAACGTGTCTCAACATGTAAGGTTATCCCTTTGAATTTCACGGCTTCGAGATTAAATGTTTTAACTTGTAACTTGCAAGGTTATGGGAAAGTATAAAATGAAACTAGTAAAAAATACGGTTAAAGAAAGGCGGTTGAGTTTGAGATGTTGGATAGGATTTTCGGTAAAAGAATACAATAATGATAGTTAGATGAAAAAAAATTCGATTATCAACCTAAAATATTAAATTATCTACATTAAAAAATTACATATTTGATAAGAATTTTAGTTACAATTCATAATGCTATATGAGTTTCTAATTGAATAAAACTTACCACTAGTGGTAACTTTTTTAATATGAAATATTTTGTTTCAACCTAAAATATTATCTTACGCACCCTAAAAAGTTACATATTCAATAAAAATTCAAGTTATAAAATAATCGTTTGACTATATAGAGTTGCTTTATTAAGTCTTTTGACTATTAAAAGTTACAAAATAGTCACGTAACTATATTGTGTTACTTTCACTAGAGCAAATATGTATTATGACATATACTATGAAAGAATATGAAAAAAAAGTGTGTTGTGAGATGATGAATAGTAAGTTATTTGAGACTATATAATGTTTCTATGTATGATGTAGCATCTCTTGGTAATATATCTGAATCGGATAAGGGGTGTTACAAAGGAGCTTAATAAAACAATATCCTATAATTAGGAGGTTATTTGTGTGCTCTATCCAAATTTTTTTATTAAAGATTTGTCTAATGTGAGATTATTTAATTAATAAAATAATGAAAACATAATGTTATGATAAGATTTTTTAACCAAAATATTTAATTTACAAAATCTATAAATTGAATGAATTTTCTTCGATTAATAAAGGGACATTGAGCTGTAATATAGATGTATAATATTATTATTAGTGCTCTAAAGACCTTGGGGTGTTGAAGAAAATGGGGTCGACAGTGTTTGTGGCCTGTGCCACTCAATGTCAACAAGGCGTGCGTATCCCTCCAGGCTCAATCCAATCAACCACCATCCGTGGCCGTAAAGATTGAGACATAAGCATGCTTCAACCTACCCTCCTCACTTCTTTTCTCCCTTTTCACACTTAACTACCATAGTGTTTTTGGAAAATGGTGAAGCATCCATCTCAAATCTCAATATTTCATTTATAAAGAATATTTTATCTGTTACACTTGGATCATGATTGGATAATATGAGTTCTTAAGGAATCTTTTGGTGTCTGATTGATCTTTGATTAGAGCTGGCATGTTGACTACCATACACTACACAATGGATTAATTTATCAAAAACCACAGTGGCCCCATGTCTTTGATCTTCGTTCCAAATAAAGTTTGAAACTCAAATACAATAAAATACACCAGATTCAATACAAATATTGTATCAGATCAGCTCTCTCTCATCTTTCACAGCCTGTCAAGCTTGAATTATTAACACCATGATTATAATTTGTTTATCTTTCTTGTTTCTCTAAGATAACTCTCAAATACCCTTTTTTTTTCCTATGTCAAAACAATCTGCAGAGTGAGGAACATGTTCAAAGAGAATCAGGAACTGGCAACTTTTTTTCCTGCAGGTATTATTATTACTTTCGTGGAGGATTCTTTGTTTTTTGCTGGTGATTTATCTCAGATGCTTGGAAGTTAAGGTCTTTTGTGTTTAATCATGATTTGCAGTAGAAATACTATAAAGAACCAGACAAGGAGAAAAAGTTAAGGAAAGGAAAGTTAACAATTTTCCTGGGAAAATATGTTGTTTTCTTGTAAAAAGTTCAGTAGTTAGACCATTTCAGACACAACATGGAATCGATTCGAAACACAATGCAGATGCATGAAGATGTCTTCAAACACCAGGTATATGATGAAATTAAAACGTTAAAACCTTCTGTTTTGTCTTTTTTTTTTATGGATTTCAGATGAAGGAAACCGCCGCAGGTACAGGAACTTCATCGGCTCTATAGTGTTCAGAAGATACTAATGGATGAGTTGAAAAAGGAGATAAAAAACAACAGGTTTTGGACCACTACTAGCTCCAACATGAACCAAACTACTGGTGTGTTCGGTTTAAATGTTCAAGGTGATCCGAGACCAAGGAGCTTTGACCAAGCAGGGCCTAGCTCCAGAACTAACCGGATAATGAGTATTGGGGGCTCTGATGAAGATAGTGAAGTTGAACTGACACTCGGTATCGGGATCGGAGGCAGCGGTTCGAGAAAGAAGAAGCTAAAGAACTGCAGTACTAGTTCTCAGTCAGTTCATAATAAGGAGCTGGATTCATCAGCTTCATGTAGTGGCCCCGGCACTCCGGTGAGCAGCTCTAGTGCGACATTTGATCAGGAAAGAAGCTACCGCATTGGCTTTTCCAAGGTTTTAGCACAAACAGAACTTGATCCACTTAACAATGTAGTTTGGATCAAATTTACTTTGTTCATCACTTTTAGATTCTTTTTTAGTTTCTCTTAGCCTAATGAACATGATTTGGGTGTGCATTGTGGTAAATAGGTCAATGCCCAATAGGATTTCATGGAATTTGTTGTCAACATTTATGTATTAAAATGAAAAAAAAGTGAAATAGTTAAATTTTTTTTTTATGAAATTGAGTATTTAGCTTATTTTTTATATGACCTAATGCATAAATTGATTATTCAATTTAATAATATTAAAAACGGTAAACTATAACTATGACCATTTAACTATTGTTTCAGTCAAGCCAATTGTCATTAATAGTTGACGTTAGAGGTGATGTGACGATTAAAAGAATTTGTATATTTACACCATACTACTTACAAATTAAATAAATTTAGTTCTAATTTTAATTTAATTATCCAATCAGAAAGTGACATATGTTACCCACCTAATTATATGTTTTTTTTTTTGTTTTAATCTAAAGTTGTCATTAAACTTTTGAACATTCTAATTTTATTCTCACTGAACTATGCTAATCATGTCCAATGCTAATAAAATTGCTATAAAATTTTATTAATTGACATAAAACATTGGCAGGTATTATGTAATACTATGGTGAGTCATAAACGATAATTTTTTTTATAGAAAGTCACTAGTTTTATTAAAAATAGAAAATACCCAGAATTACAATGAAGATTTACGAGTATAATCGTAAACGTAAACTAAATTACAATTAGAACATTTTCCTATAAACAATTGACACAAAAACTAGCCACCTAGATCACACAAGGACCATAAAAAGAAAATGTTAAAAAAACCTAACCAATGCTTGCACAATATAAAGATACTAACAAATATATTGGGAAATCAGGTTAAGTAACACATGAAATAAACGAACAGTAAAGAAAATAAAGAACATGAGATTTAACGAGGTTCGGCAAGGTGCCTACGTCCTCGGGAGCGATGAGCGGATGTTTTCTTATTATTAGTAATAATGATAACAATTAGGTTACAATTACATAATATAAAAGCAACCCCGGTACAATTACCAAAATAACCTCGTATCGTGCCGCGGGGGTAAAGCCACTACACCCCAACCCACTTAATCCTAGCCCACAAACTATAACGAAACTTCCTCAAAGGACAGATGCTGGAGCGAAGTAAGCGAACTGGTATATGAGCCATACATGACAAAATCTGATTGTATCTGCAAATGAACCACAAAAGGGGATGAAGCTACTGAAGGCCACCGAAAAATCACAAATCAGAGTCATGCGACGTGAGAAAACTATCCACGAAACTAAAATGCGTATCCAAATCAATTTTAGGGTCAAAAGTAAGGAAGATCATCATGATAACAAATAAGCCTCATCTTGATCAGTCGTGACGATGTCAAATCCAACATTGAGAAAAAAAAGAAGAAAAAACGACAAAAAAATTGTAAACTACCAAAAGGTAGAGAAAAATATGCCACAAAGGCATAGATAAACGTGTCATACATACAAAGAACATGTCACAAAGACATAATTATTCTTATTAAAAATTTAAAAAATAAAGAAAAAAGATAACCGACGGGCGACAGCCAGGATCAAAACTGGTGTCGTCGCTGGTTAAACAAAATTAAAGAATAAAAAGTTGGATTGATCAATAAAATTTACACAAGTTGCAAAGAAAAAAGGAAGAGAGAAGAGGAGGAAGAAAGCTGCTGGTTTTTTTTTTTACTTTATTCGGGAAAATATGAGGTATATTGCTTGAAATCATTATTTAGAATAAAATTGAAAGTTAAATCATTATTTATTTGAACCCAACACTAATTAGCTTGAAGAAATTTGAATGCTCAAAAGTTTGGGACCAATTTAGAATGAGAATGATAATTTGGGGAGTAAAATTAGAACATTAAAAAAAATTAAGGAATAATTTAAAATGAGAGATATAATTTATGAACACATAATGTGATTAACTCAAAATAAAATTGTGATACTTTTTATAGAAGTCGCTAATTTTATTAAAAATAGAAAATATTCAAATTATAATGAATGTTTACAATCACAATCGTATACTAAACACATAACAAAGATATTTTTCTAAACTTGAGAAAACTACCACTTAAGATCCCAAGGATTATACAAGGAAAATGTTAAAAAAATCTAACCAAACAAACTCTGATAAAAGATATATACAAACAAATCTGACTGTATCGACAAATGATCCACAAAAGGGTATAAATCTATTGAAAGATCATTGATAAATCGCAAATCAGAATTGAGTTATGTGAAAATATTATTCACGAACGTAAATTGTGTATCCAAATTCAGTAAGAGGGTCCAAAACATGAAAGACCAACATAATAACAAATAAAACGCCATCTTGATCAATCGTGAAGATGTCAAATCCAACCCTAGAAAAAATAAACAAAAATAACGGCTAAGCCATCGAAAATGTGCCATAAAGGTAGAGAAAAAAATACCACAAAAATAAAATTATTAAAAAAATAAAGACACACTATAATAAAGTAAAGAAAAAACAATAAAAATCGAATATCAACGATTAACATCAAAACTGATACTGCCATCGATCACAAAAATGAAGAAGCAAAGAGAATAATAGCTACTAAGAAAAAAAGAAAAGGAAAAAAAAACAGGACGAACCCTTAATTAAGAAAATTAGCATACTCAATCATGCAATTGGAAACGTGGGATATCATATAAAACATTTAGGATTTGCAATTAATGTTGTTCCTAAGACGAATTTATTATAGGTAAACTACACAAGATATCATCAAAGTTTAGGCATTATTTCGTTTATACTACTAAACTTTCAATTTTACCAATTATAGCACTGAATTTTGATTTTTGTTTCATTATATCACTGGACCGTTAAATCATTAACAATCGAATCAAAACGCGTCATTTTGGTGAGGTGTCTACATTGGTAGCCGTTAGACATGTCGACAATGCGGCCAAACCGGAATATACAATTGTTACATGGCCGTGAATGCCAAGTTCGGAGCTGCAGATATGACAAAGGATTGTAAATGTCAAGCTTTGCCAAATAATGAGCAAGACTGCAAATGCTTGATTGTTTGCCAACACTACTTTGGTTTGGAATAATAATTACAATTTAAGAGGTTGGATGTTTTTAATTTTCGGGTTTATATAATTTTTCTCTATGATCATGATCTAATGTTATTGTTTTCGAATTATTTTTATCATTTTTAACACTGGCTTATTAATTAATAATCAGTTGATTTAGTTGGATAATAAAGTCCGGAGTTAGAATCTTAGCGTTTGCGAATAAAACAAATTAAATTGGAATGACAGCCTTCATGACGAGTCTATAAAATTTCATCTAGAATAACCGATTAATAAATCTAATACCGATAGTTAAAAAAAAATTCACATAACACATTCAATCAAAAGTATAGAGCGATAACCTTATCTGCCAATTAATCGCTGAAAGTAAATCTCAATATCACTAGTTACTATATTTGGTGTTCAATATATATGATAATCAACCTTAAAATGAATATATCTTTGAACTTAAAATAAATAATTAATCTTATAATCACCGCGTACTATTAAAAAAGAATAGTTATTATTATAATTATTTTAGATAAATAATTAATTGCAGCATACATTCTTAAATTATGACTCTTAATATAAAGGGTGAAGTACGCAAATGGTCCATCGACTATAAGATGTTGATGTACTGAGTCCTATGATGATTAAAAGTTACATAACGGCCTCTTACCTGTAAGATGTTGCTTTGTTGAGTCCTTTGACTATTAAAAGTTATAAAAGGGTCACCCAACTATTTATTATGCTTCAAACTTGTCATTTTCAGTTAAAAAATTGACAGTCGTCTGAGTCGGATATTAACATGCTGACTGAGTTATGATAGTCGTTTGATATTCTGATATTAGATTTATTATATCTCAGTCACTAGGTTAACGTCATGCACATACTATCATCAATTTTTTAACAGAAAATGACGAGTTTGGAGCATAATGAATAGTCGAGATCATCTTGTAACTTTTAATAATCAACGGACTCAACAAAACATCATCCTATAGTCAAGGGGCCATTTGTGTACTTTACCCTAATATAAATAGATCAACTTTAAAAGTTTTCCCTAAACTATGACTCTCATTTTAAATTAGTCCCTAAACTTCTAAATTCCAATTTCATCCCTGAAGTATGAAGCTCATTCTAAAGCAGTCTCAAGCATCTGAACATTTTAATTTCTTTCCCAAACTATGATATACGCTAATCAAATCTCATGTTAATAAAACTTATAAAAAAATGTAAACTTCCATGTAAGCATTAATGAGTATTATCTAATAATATGATGGAACGGAAATGATACTTAATGTTGTATTATGCTCCGAAATCATTATTTAGAATGAAATTAAAGTTAAATCATTATTTTATTTAAATTCAACATTAATTAGCATTTATGCTATATGATTTGGGTATGAAATTGGAACGTTAAAAAGTTTATGGACCAATGTAGAATGAGGGTCACAGTTTGAAGTCGAAATTAAAATGTACAAAAATTTGAGACTAATTTAGAATGGGAGTAATAGTTTGAGAATAAAATTATAACATTCAAAAGTTTAGGAACTAATTTAGAACGAAAAACAAAACATAATTTAGAGACTTATAGTGCAATTAACTCGAAATAGAATTAGGATAATCAATCATGCAATTGGAAACTTGAGATATCGTATATAACTTTTAGTATTTGCAATTAATGCTGTTTCTTTTGAAGATCAATTTGTTATAATACAGATATTTTCCTTTTAAAGGCTTGTTCTTACCAATCTTGATCATCTGAGCACCCTATAAAATCTCAAGCAACTCATGCTTATATTATCAAAGCAAATAGCAAGAGAAGAAGAAGAAGAAGAAAATCATGAACAAGTCGATTCTTGTCCCCTTGCTTTGCTTTGCTCTCTGGCTGGCCCTAACCTCTCCTTCCCATTCCCAAGGTATTTTCTTTTCCTCAATTCAAATAAAAAACAATGAATGAGACTCGAACCCTGATTCAGATTCTAAATATACAATCTATGTCTCTGAATCGATGAACATTCGAGCTCCGATTCGAATACT